TAAACTTAAAAAAAAAAATTTTTTTTTTTTTTAGTTCCTAAATGTTTTTGTCATTTTGTGTTTAATTTTTTTTATTATATATATATATACTCCAAAATTCTGTAAGGGTGAATTTACGATCCATACCCCAAATTTATTGGTCACACTTTATAATTTCTGTATGGGCAAAATTCCTGAATGCCTATAACATGAGGGCAGACTGTAATTAACAAAGCTATAAACTTGTGTAATTTGGCACTCAAATAGTTTAGAAAAATATCTTTAATAAACAATGGGTTCATGTTTACATTGGTAATTTTAGATTTAATACCTTTCCTTGAAACAGAAAGGTACTTCTTTTCTGCTATAGTGTTTCACAAAATTTTTCATGTGAATCAAAGAATAAAGTGAGAAAGTTTTCAATGTGTTTGTTCAATGTTTCTCAAACTTTATTATGTATACCCTTGGGGGTACATGGTGGTCTTCAAAGGGGTACAAGAAAGTACGGTGAAAAATTGATGACTGTTCTAAACTAAGAATTAATAATATCAATAAAATCTAGCTGCTAGCTGTAGTAATACTGAATAATAATAACAACATCAGTAAAATAAAATGATTTTACAGCTGAAGATACATATTTTATATTTATTTTTAGTATCAGAATCATTGGAGTATGTAAATTTGTACTAACATTCCAGCTTCAGACATTTGGGAACCACTTTATTATAATATTTTGTCTGTATGCGTAGGTATATTTTGTTAAGTTGCCATTTTTCATCTGTAAAAAAAAAAACTTAAGAGAGAAAATGTTACATTAAAAATCAGTTTTTCTATGTTGATAATGCACAAATTTTATTGGACTAGAATTATCAAACTACACAAGATGAAAACATATTGAAATAAATTTTTGGTATATATATATAGTTGAGCTTTTAAAACTTGAGTTCAGTGTTTTGGTATCACATTACTGTTTGTATTTAATATATAATATTTCATTCTTTAGTTTCCTGTTCAGATGGAAAAACACAAACTCTTCATTCGTGGGCTTCCTTTATCTATAACAGAACATAAACTTAAAGATATCTTTAAAGAGGTAAGTTTCTTTCTTTAAAAAAAAAAGCTAAAAGCATAATTGAATAGTATTAGTTGACGTTATCAGAGTAATTGTAGTTGATGCTATCAATATTGTATTCATTTTCAGTTTTTATTCTACCTTGTTAAAAATATATGTGTCTTTAAGGTTTTCCTTAAGGGCTAACTATTACTGATTTACACCATTAGATGGCATCAATACATGAATGTATTATATTGGCATTAATCAATGATCCAGTGTGAAGGCATTGTTACGAGTTTTTTCACAACAATTGGTCAAGCTAATACTTAGGAATGCATACAAGCCAATTGTAGCATCCAGGGAAACATAACACTAGTAACAGTAACAATCAATTGCTGCTAATAAACAACACAGACAGATAGCTTGCTAATCATCAAATTTATCAGTACTCTTGAGAAAATTGTTCAGTAATATTTAGTATTCTTGATTATACAACAATAAGATCTGTATTATCTGAAGTTCTGTGAGTTTATACAAGTTTGGGTTGTTTGTATAAGTTCTGTGAGTTTATACAAGTTTGGGTTGTTTTTTAGATTTATCTTTGGTTTATATTGTTATTTATGATAGATAAGACTTCACATGCAATTTAAATATTATATAGTTAAGCTAAAGTCTATGGATTTGGAACTGAATTCTTATTCCAAATTTTCTTAGCCGAGTATACTAAAAATAAATGATGTAAAAATAACCAACTCAAATT